CACACACACACACACACACACACACACACACACACACACACACACACACACACACAGCTGGCCCTGTTAACATGTGCTATTTTGGGGAAAAGGTATATTGCTAGCACTCAAACTCATCCTCACTTGTAACAAAAGCTTTGAGCCATCCTTTCCCTTTCGCGCCATCCTTTCCCTTTGTACATGGCACTCGTCCATTGTTACTACTGGAAAAGACAGCCAGATCCAAAGCCACCTCCCCATCCCTTGCCTCTCCCTTCTTCTCTTTGACAGAGCGAAGGGACGGAAAGGGGCAAGGTGCTAACGATGTCCTCAATTCCTCCATCGGACATACAAAAACCCAGACTCATTGCCATAGCAACAACAGCACTGGACATGGCATCACACATCAGTTTGCTCGAATGCATATACTTGTGTGATTGATCGCCACCTAGAGAAGATAAGAAACTGCCACGCAACACAAATCAACCATTATGAAAAGAAGATCCCCCGGAGCTATTGCCTATCTCACCAATCGACCACCATACACGTACTTTGGCAAGTACAATTGAGATATTCTTTCAAGGATAGATTGAGGAAGAGGTGAAGGAGAATTGAGCAAGCGGAGGAACTGGATGAGGGAAAGAGGAAAAGGAGGGAGCGATTAGGAGAAGCAGACAAAGGGAATAGCACAAGCAGAAGCAGGAAAAAGCATAGGAAGACATTTGAGGATGCCCTTAGGGGAGGGGAGGGGAGGGGAGGGGAGGAGAGGAGAGGAGAGGACAACAGCAGTGTCGAAGAAGTGAAAGAGGCAATGAGGAAGCGGCATGAGAGGATGATCACATGAACCGGAGATAAGGAGTCCCACACCTAGTGGAATTTACAAAACAAGGGGATGCGAAGGCTCTCAGATTTTGTCATCGTACATAAGAATCTGGGAATGGGCGTAAGGTTGCAAAGAAAGGAAAAGGTGAATGTGACATTGCACTTCGATTCACTGTCAAAAAATATCGTCATCGCGCAACTTGGGGAATAAGAGTGACCGGTCGTACTCCTGGATGTACTCTGATCGGGGCAGGATATTCTCCGGCATGGGGACAAGAGGCACGATAATGTCTTTGTCAATCACTCCGTCAATAAGCCCGTACTCAACAGCTTCCATCGGCGACATGTAGCGATCTCTGTCGATGTCTTTATCCACAACATCAGCAGGTCTTCCTGTAAACTCCGAAATGAGACGGACGAAATTGTCCTTGTGGTATTGAATTTCGTTCGCTTGGATTTCAACGTCAATCACCTGGCCGCTGGCACCGCCCAACGGCTGGTGCAGCATGATACGTGTGTTTGGCATTGCAAATCGCTTCCCTTTCGTCCCACCCATCAAAACAATAGCAGCCGTCGATGCTGCGATGCCCATGGCAATGGTCGAGACGTCTGCGCGGCACCACTGGATGGCATCAAAGATACCCATCGTCGCATTGATCGAACCCCCGGGACAGTTAACGAACAGTCGGATATCACGTCTAGGGTCTTGAGCGTCGAGGAGAAGAAGTTGGCTGATGACTGTGTCAGCGACAAAATCGTCGATTTGATGGCCCAAAATGACGATGCGCTCGCGGAGCAGAAGCCCCATCACATCGGCCTCCGCCATGCTCTGTTGAGAGGGCGCCGCCTGCGTGGCACGGACAGCAGAAATCGATGACGGATGAAATACAGCTGTGGTGTTACCTCCGGGTGCTGCATGTGCCACTGCATTATTGTGCCATGACGGAGACCCTCGACCGCCCTCCTCCGCCGCTGGAACTAAGTGCCTGGTCCCCCTCACAGGTGTGCACAGCCTGCCAGGCAATGGAGCAGTGCTCCAAGGGCCTGCAGCTGATGTCGATTTCAACTGTGAGCGATGAAGATTCTTCGCAGTGGATTGCCCGGATGCAAGAAATGGCAAAGACAGGCGCTTGCAACGAGAACAAGACAAAGAAGAGGAGGAGGAGGAGGAGGAGGAAGAGGATGACACCAACAGCGAACGGGCAACCGAGGACGATTCTTGAGAGGACGCTGCCAAGGCTGACAAGTTACCTTGCTTATCCTTAAGAGCCGGATTGTCATAAACAGCCGACCGGACATCTGCTCGTGCCAGAACAGCGCATGAAAGGGCCGCCATGGCCACCACCACTTCGGTCTACCGCTTCAACTGGGTTGCTCGCCTTGGCAGCCAGTCAGGTTGTCTTCCTCCTCACACGCACACGCCTCTGATCACAATCCTACCTGCTGTAACCAGGTGTACCCAAAACAACAAAGGAGCAAGGAGTCATCCATGTTTGCCCATCTTTTCATTTCTTCATCCCACACATTCATAAGAATAAAAAAAGAGCATTTATTACCATAGCAACAACAAGATTGGACAGCATATCTGTGGCATTCTGAGCCACACGGGCCCCAGTTAGGGCCCGGTTCCAGACAGGCAGGGTAAGCGGCTGTTCAGATGAGGCCCAGATGGGCCTGGACCATGACGGTTCAGGCACGCCCAGGCCAAACGGCCACAAGGCCGGTACAGGTCCGGCCTAGGACCTACCGGCGGCGCTGCAGAGGCTGCCACAGTTTTGGGCGCCAACCAGTTTCGAAACTGGACCGTTGATCTAGATCAACGGTCCAGGCCGGTAGGTACCAGCGGGTAGGAGGCCGGCCCAGCACTACAAAAGGCTGGGTACCAGCCTCCGTAGGTTAGAGAGTTAGTATGGACGAGGTTAGTCTTCAGGATTAGCTCAGCAGCCCAGCGTTAGCTCGATTAGCGCAGCGCTGCAGCAGCGAGAGAGCGAGGTTCAGCAGAGAGCGGATTAGCGCAGCACTGGGCGCCTCGCCAGTTACCGGCCCAGCCCCCTTGCAGCGCAATAGCCAGGTACCAGGGAGGAAGGCTTCGCCTTCTCTCCCTCCTCTCCTCTACCGCCCTCTCTCTCTCTCTCGCTCTCTCTCTCTCTCCTCCTACCTTCTCAGTCTCAGTCTATTTCTGGGTTCTCCTACGGGACTACTGCAGTATGAAGGATGGTTACGAACTCTGATAACATTTGGAGCAGCGACATTGGGACTACGAGTTGAGGACTATTTGGGGATCTGATTTCATCTTCCTCCTGGAGATGTACTTGACATTGTGAGATCGATATCTGGGATATTGTGAGACTTGGCATTCGCGACATTTCGGATTTTCGTCACTTCTGACAATTCAAGATACTATCTTTGGAAACATTGAGTTGATGTCATCTTCCCTATCCTCCTCCTTCGTCTCTCTCCTCTCTCTCTTCGTCCGTGGATGATCTCAGTCCCTGGCCCTTCGTCTATGTCTGAGGCCAGGGCATTCACACCCCTGATGAATGTTTGAGAGTGTTCGATTGCAGTCCGAGTCAGGTCCGAGTCAGTCCAAAGGTATCTCAAGTCTTCCGCTTGCATTTGTATTAACTCTGTATTATCTGGTCGGTTCTGGGAATCTGCGCCATACTTATGACTGTGTTTCACGAGTATGCAACAATATCATTCATCAATTCTCAAGGCTGGCACTCATTAGCCACCCATGACATATAATGTCCCTGGAGGAAACCCCCTCCGCAAACAACAGAGGCACTACCTTTTTCAGAGGGTGTGTGACCTCCACAGTTCCAGTTAAAACACCCGGGCCATGACGCTTTCCGCCTGGGCCGGTAGTAAAAAAAAACAGTTGAAGGCTCGCAAGCCTTGGAAGGTAGCTTTGTCAACTTAGGCTCATTCGAAATGGCGTTTTTTAAAAGGCAAACTCCTGGTGTTTCTCTCTGAAGTGAATGGAACTTGGTTCCGCGGTAGGCACCTCCTCTCAGAGCTTTGCCTCCTAAAGGGGACCACCACCACACTGAATCTGTTCTCTTTTTGGTACATATGTGTGAAGGGTAAAATTCAAATTCACCCCCTCATGTTTCCAAATCCCCAAAACTACAACAATGAGCCCAGTCAGAATGCACTTGGGGCCCTGTACATGCAGGTGCAGATGATGCATCACCTGCTTGCACAGCTCCTGGCCAAATTCTCAACCAGGTGCATTGTTAAAAGGCTACCTTCTTCCCCCGAACGTAGCATTCACGCATTGTCTTTGAAACTGGAAAGGAAGAAGAGAAGGCTGTTTCAGATTTCAGCCAATTCTTTTGAAAGAGAACACCCTTCTAAATACAATGCCTAGGCATTGTATTCAGATTCCTCGTTAAACTTCATGAATGAAAAACTCAGTAGCATATAGGCAGCCTACAGCTGGTACGGGGCAACCGCTTAGGTGTAGGTCTGCTATGGACTTGCTGAGACTCCACCTATTGGCAAGGAGCACCTACCAGGCGTGAATCCAGCTTTCACCCCTCTACTCTCCCCGCAGCGTACAAAAATATGGAGCACAAGCAGGAAAAAGGACCCGACCCCTCTTGAATACCCTCCCCTAGCAAGCAAAAGAGTTACTG